GGGGGGGGGGGGGGGGGGGGGGGGGGGGGGGGGGGGGGGGGGGGGTGTTCCTACCGCCGTAGTCGACGGGTTTGTTGTTTTGGTGTCGGTGTCTTGTGTGTGTGTTGTCCTCATGTGTTCTCGTTCGCCGCCTGTCTCTTTCTCTCTTTGTCTGTCTGTCTGTCTGTCTGTCTGTCTGTCTGTCTGTCTGTCTGTCTGTCTGTCTGTCTGTCTCGTCTGTCTGTCTCTCCCGCTCTCTCTTACCACATGTCTGTCCCCAACGAATACTCCCCGCTCGCGTGCTGCTGCCCGCTGTCGACACACCGCCCGCCGCTGCCTCATGCGCAGCTCGCGACGCTAGAGGGCGAACACGTGATGGTCGTGAGCCACAACAGCTTGGACGGCACTCCGGCCGTGCTCACCACCAAAACCCGGGCCGTGGGCGGCGACAACGGCAGGTGGAGCTCGTACGAGCTCCCGGATGGCTTCGACTGGGACCTCGGCGGTGCGTTATTTTATTTACAACGAATCCATCCCTATCCACAGACAGGAGTCCAGGAAAATTAGCGAAGTTGATGTTTTCGCCCCTCTCTGTTCTACTTGCCTCTTGACGATATGCTATTGTAGTTGGTGGTAAAGCAGTGTTGAACCCTGTTTAGCGACCCTTTGTAGTTGCGGTCAGGAGGGAACAGTTCAGGGCAGGTCGCCGTGGCCTTAACAGCGGCTATGTTGTCCGGCTGCAATGGTGCCTCGCGATTTGCAGAGCATGTTGCTAAACAGGGGCCGCCACTGCTGCTGTATCGCTTATCCTTGGAACGAACGGTACTCTGCTCAAGCATTCATTTCGGAGTAGGCGTCACCACTTAAGAACCCCGTAGCGCCCCGAAGCTGGGTTCTAGAGCTGTTGTCTGTAGGGTATGGTCCTGTGGGGCATGGCCCAACAGCGGCTATGGCTCAGCAACGACTCCTATGGACGTTGTCGTAGGCTTCGTGCTTTATAGCACCTGTTCTTATGGTCCATTTCTTGTGTTGGAAGACCACTATGGACCTGAATTTGTATCTTCCTAGGTAGTGGTGGAGCGGAATTTTGTACCGTATCCCCCCTCCCCAAGGATCACCGAGAATAGGAAGGACCGGCAATGTATCTATCGTTCATGGGACGCACGATCCAGGCCGCCATCAGGGGGTGTAGCCGGAAATCGTCAAACCTCCAGCTCCCGCGCCGAAGCCCACATCGATGCTCCACCATGTTTCCCATCTCTCTCTTGTGTGTGGGTCTCTCTCTCTCTCTCTCTCTCTCTCTCTCTCTCTCTGTTTGTGTGTGTGTCTCCCGCCGGCCTGCTTCGGCCTAGCAGGCGATTTTTCTAGGGGGTTGTGCTTCTCTGAGTGTTGCGACACCCCGGTGCCTGCTCAGTCCAAGAAAGGGGCCACCGACTACGGGGCCGGGCCGCTGGCGTTCATGCTCATGGCCAACGGGGACCTGCAGTGCGCGGCGATGGTGCACCCGCAGCAGCCGGAGGTCAGCCTGAGGAGGAAGACAGCGCCACGAGCCCAGGCGTTACCTGCTAGGGCGGCGGTGGAGGAGGAGGAGGAGGAGGAGGAGGAGGAGGGGACGAATGTGGAGGTGGAAGAAGACAGCGAGGAAAAAGTGCAGGTGCGTGTGATGATGACTGGAAGCGTCAGGTTGGGAGGGAGAAGTTGCGCACAGAATCGTGCTTCAGTGTCTTGGCCGAAGTCCCGACCAGGCATGCGGACATGGCCGGAGTGGACCTGTCCCGGTTTCGCCAAAACGACTTGGTTTCTCTTTCTCAACAGCACCAAGGGCGAACCGCCCTGGTGCTTGACGAGTTGCATCCTTGCCGTGTGTGTGAGAGAGAGAGCGGCCTGATGAGATCTTCGGCACGTTGTACGTATACAGTCAAGTGCCCGTCCTTGAGAAGACCTTGGGAATATAGAAATTCAGGCTCAATTATAGATGAATTGAACCATAAGAACGGGTGCTCAGTAAAGAAGCCAACACTGTATCCTACATATTCGCTGTTGGGGTACCCCATAGACCCATCGAGAGTCGACCCTCGGCGAAAACAAGAGGTTCTTGAGGGTCTTGAGTGCGGGCGATGTTTGTACTCTCTTGCATGCATGTATCGATAACCGTTCGCGTGGTCCTTGGTGTGGGCATTCGGTGTGTCCACCTTTCGTCAGGCATTTTTTTGTTCTTCTTTTTCGCCACGGTGGCTGCGGTGCGGAAGCCACTGGTGCGGACGTTGGCGTGATTTCCATTCCTGCGTGGATTTTCGGCCGTCCATATATCGACCTGGATAGTCATCCCTGAAAAATATAGTTTGACCTAGCTAGTTGGCTCGATCACACAGAGGTGGTATGGTACGGACGCCTTTGCCAAGCGACATCAAGCCCGTCGGGAGGGGAGAGAGAGAGAGAGACAAGACAGAGGAAAATTGAACCAGGGTGCGGGCGCGTGATGACTAACCGAAGCTTCCCCCCTGCTCCATTACAACCATGCGCAGGCCCCCGCCCCCGCTCCCGTCCCAGCAAAGAGCCCGGTGTTCGGCAGCGGCGGCGCCGGCTCGCTCGTTTTCGGGTCCGGGTCTCTAGTAGACCCCACCTCCGCTGAGAAGAAGGGGGCCGGAGGTGGGGCCGCGAAAGCGTTCGGGTTCGGGGGTGGGTTCGGTGCGAAGCCGGCGTTCGGCGTTGGTTCTTCCTCTCCGTTCGGGTCGTTCATGTCGCCGCCCGCGGCAGGCGCGAAGGCGCAGGCGACGGCTGGATTCGGCAGCTTCGCGTCGTCGACGTCTCCCGCCGGAGGCGGATTCGGATCGCTTGGCAAAGGGTCCGGTCTGTTCGGCAGCGCGAGTGGCGATGACGCTCCTGCTCCTTCTGGCGGTGCGGAGAAAAAGACCGCGGCGGCACCGACCGCGGCGGCACCGGCGTCTACTTATCCCCCCATGAGCGCCAAGGCTCCTTCAACCTTCGGAGAAGCGGCGAAGAAGAAGAACCCGCCGGCGGCGGCAGCAGCCCCGGGGTACCCGCCCATGAGCGTCAAGGCGCCGGGGGTGTTTGGCGCGCCTGCCCCCGCTCCTGCCGCCGCTGCTGCCAAAACGCCGGCCACAACAGCCCCGGGGTACCCGCCCATGAGCAGCAAGGCGCCGACCACTTTCGGGGCGACGCCGGCGGCGGCCCCTGCCTCGGCGAAGAGCAAGCCGCTCGCCGCAGCAACGCCGCCCCCCGGCTACCCGCCGATGAGCTCCGCGGCTCCCTCGGTGTTCGGGGCGGCGAAGGCGCCGGCCTCGTCGCCGGCGTACCCGCCCATGAGCGCCGCCGCGCCGTCGGTGTTCGGCGCGGGTAACGCCAAGGATCCCGCCAAAGGAAGCGGTGGTGCCGCCGCCAAGCCGCTGACGCTCGGAGGGACCGCCGCTGCCGCTGCCACTCCTGCTTCGACGGGGGGCGGCTTCTCGTTTGGGTCGCCGGAGGGGACGGTCGCGGGGGCGCCGCCGAGTTCGGGATTTTCCTTCGGGTCCCCGCAGGCGAAGGCTAAGCAGCCGGCGCTCTCGTTTGCGGCGCCACCGGCGTCATCAGCGGGCGCCCCGGCTCCGGCCCCGGCCCCGGGGGCGGCCTCCTCGGGGTTTTCTTTCGGGGTGGGGGCACCGCCGCCGAAGGCCTCCGGGGCGTTTTCGTTTGGGTCGCCGAAGGGAGCGAGCTCGAAGGCGGCGACGGGCTCGACGGGGTTCTCGTTTGGTTCCCCCAAGGCGAAGCCTAAAGCGCCGCCGGCAGCCCCTGCTGTCGCCGCGGACACCAAGAAGCCGTCGTCGTCGTCGTCGTCGTCGTCGTCGTCGTCGTCGTCTGCATATCTGCCCATGAGCAGTACCGCTCCCTCCGTGTTTGGAGCAACAGCTAAGCCGGCGGTAGCAACTACCTCCGGAGGTGGTGGTGGAGCATATCCGCCCATGAGCGTCGCGGCCCCGTCGGTGTTCGGAGCGCCGGCGGCCGCCGCTAAGGCGGCAGGGGCAACGCCGGCCGTAGCTCCGGCGAAGTCGGCGACACCGGCGCAGGTCGCGTTCAAGAAAGGCACTGCCGCTGCTTCCTCTCCGTACCCACCGATGAGCAAGACTGCACCGGCGGTGTTTGGATCTTCTGCTGCTCCTGCTGCTTTTGCAGCAGCACCACCGAAGAAACCCGCCGGCGGGGGCGGAGGCGGCGGCGCCTACCCGCCGATGAGCGCGAAGGCTCCGGCGGTGTTCGGGTCCGCGGAACCGCAGCCCATCGCCGCTGTTGCGAAAGCCGTTCCTGCACCGTCTAGCTCGAAGCCGTCTGCTCCCCCTCCGCCCTCGTCGTCGGCGTCGGCGTACCCGCCCATGAGCACCAAAGCGCCCGCCGTTTTCGGCGGCGGCAGCACCACCCCCGCCGCCGCCGCCACCGCCGCCGCGCCAGCGCCAACCAAACCCACGACCACGGCGAAGCCCGCCTCGTCGGGCGGGTACCCCCCCTTGAGCACGACGGCGCCTTCGGTATTCCGAGCGCCTGCAGCAGCGGCAACGGCAGCGGCGACGGCGACGTCTTCGGCTCCCCAGGCCAAGACGACGGCTCCGGGGCTGTTCGGCACCGGGAGTAGTAACCCGTTCGGCGACGCGAAGCCGACCGCCAGCATTTTTGCTTCGACGTCCGGGGCAACGTCTTCCACGGTGTTCGGGGGGACATCGAAGCCGACGTTTGGCGGTAGCGGCGTGGGTGGCGGCTTTGCGGGCTCGTTGAGCTTCGGGCAGCCGCAGCAACAGCAGAAGCCCACTTCGTCTGCGGCTACCCCGGCCGCCGCCGCCGCTGCTGCTATCCCGCCTTCCAAGGGCGCGGCGGGTGGTACCGGAGCGCCTCAGGCGTCGTCGTCGGGCGGCCTCTTGGTCGGTGTGTCGTTGGCAGCAGCGGCGTCCGTTCCCCTGCCGACCGAAACGATGGCGGCGGCGACGGTGGACGTCCGCTCCGCTGCTTCGGTGTTGCCGGCGGCAGCGGCGGCGTTGGCGCGGGTCGGAGGGGACCGCAGAGGGAGGGGCAAGAACGAAGCGAAGGAATGGGAGCAGGACTTCGGGGGCGGGGACGGCGAAGACGAAGACGAAGAAGAGGAGTTCGGGGTGCCCGAGATCCCAGTGATGAGGTCGCCGCGCCGGCCGCAGTCGGTGGGAGGACGGGAAGGCGGCGGTGTCGCCGCGCCAGGTACAAGACCACCCTGTGTCTTTCGCCCGATATGTATGCATAGGCGTGTTTGCTTGCCACTCGGTGTTCCCTGCCCGCCCCCCTCCCTCGATGTTTGAGCACTTTCGGCGCCTCCCAACTTCTGTACGCGTGCGACAGGTTTCTTCCCACAGTAATGTGCTTGTTTCGATCTGAGCGATCCCTCTCCTCGGCGCACCCACTCCTTTCCAATCGTCTTCATGTATGCGGTTGTGCAATGTTTGCTGCCGACCCCCGTTGTCCCTCCAGATGTACGGCGTGTCGGATGGTGTAGTTTATTTTTATGGGAGCCCATTAACACTCCTCGCCCGCCCCCTGGCCAGTTGCAACGAGGTCAAAGGTCAAGCACCAGCAACATCGCAGCACCCCCCGCCTCCCATGTGTGTGCCCCCGAACGAACCGGCCGACAGCGGTGCGAAGAGCGGTTCCGTCTACCGCGGCGGAAGGCATCGCGTGGAAGAATGTTCTGGAGGTTCTCGAGCACCTTCGGGACCTGCGGGAGCAAGGCGAGGCGGGGCTGCTGCGAGACTCGGCGTGGGTTGACGGCATGGAGAGGGGCATCTGCGGGCTGCGGGACACCGTCGGCAGGTGAAGGTTGTGGAGAGCGGGCAGAGACAGGCGGAAACATGAGGCAGGGGTAGACAGTTGTAAAGGTGGAGCAAGAGGAAGAAACAGGGAATACAGGCAGAGAAAAAGAAACGGGGAGGTAAGGGAGCGGAGGCTTAGATTTGACAATGTTCCGCCTATTTTTTTTGTTACGTTCTTGTGTGTTGACGAAAGTAGTGTGAGATTGCAAGAGGGGACAAGACAAGGGGGGGGGGGGG